AAATATATTCAATTCCATTTATTGGTACTATTTTTGAGTTTATTTCGAATCAGTTTTCACTTTCCAATATCAAAAATAGGTTTTCAAATGCCACCATGTTATTAATGTTTAATGATTTTAAATCTTTCAAACGTGTTTTTTTTTAATATGTCTCTCCAGCTTTACCTATTCCTCAAACACTTGAAGTATTTTATCAACGTTTGTCACTGAACTGTACTTATTTAGTCGAACTTGTCATTTGTGATATGGCATTGTTAACAATATTGAACCAAAAGCAATAAGAAGCTCGAGATAATTGTTCAGAAGTTGAAACACATCAAATTGTAGAACCGTGCATCGAACGAACAAGTTTTCCTTGAAATTGTTTTTCACATTTACATAGCAAAAGTTTTGACAAGTGTTAAAATAATACAGATAGGTTATTTATGTATATATGTTGATTTATTTATATACTTTTGATTATTAGGGATAAATGCAAAATAATTGATACCACAATACAAGAAAATAAAAAAATTAATGATAGAAGTATTAGTGAAAATAAAGAATATAAATAGAAAAAATTTTTAATTGAATGTCACACAAGTAGGCATGTTGCAATACACCAATATGGTATTGAACTATTGGTAATGAATAGTCTTTTGTTCTAATTGACATTGATGTTGTGACATGCATAGATAGAAGGATTGATGAATTTTCATTGTGATTGAGATCATTCAATAAGTAACGTTCAAATTTTGAAATTCAGTTAAATAATATTGCTAGAAAAGCATCATTATCTAAGTGAAGTTTACGATCAGAAATGTAGAATCTACCGCTAAAATGAAAAATTTCCCTAATGTTAAAATAAAATAAATAATTTTTTTTTTGTAAATATTTATACGTAACTGGAAAGAGTTTAAAGTCTTTTTTATCACCCTGTGGATTTATGTTCTAGTTTGCACTTAAGTACTAGAAAATAGATCGACTGAAATTATAATATCCTCATCATTCGATTTCCACAGGCTGGATTTTGTCATTGTCATCACAAGTAGTTTTTTTAATTTTTTTATCACTATAAAAATACCTTTTTTTTTCCAAAAAAAAGTAGTTGTTGGTTCTGATAGTTCTTGAAATTCTCTATCTTTCTATATATTTGTCTACTGCCTTGCATTTATGTTTTGCAAAAATAATTTAACTATAACGAAGACACGGTTAATTGGCAACTACGAAAACTCGCTGCCTTTTAAGTTTTTTCAAACCACAGTTATTATCGAAAGAAATTGTTTGCAAAAGTGATTAGATAATTTGATAGAGCTTCAAATTTTCTAACATTTTATATACTTTTGTCTTGTTTTGGAATCATGTACTGAACAATAATTCTGGTAATATGTAGACACACTTTTGGATAAGTCCTAAAAAACTGAACTTTCTCGTAACACTGTCTTTTTTATTACCACTTTATTATAAGTATAGGTAAAACTTTTGAAACAAAAAAACGAAAGATACATAGTTAAAAAAAACTCAGTGTTTTGAACTACTTATCAAGATACATGTCTGCATAATACCCAAATTATCTGCAGGGCATAAATAAAAGCTAAAATAAGAATATACAGGATGATAGAAAATTTGAGCTCCATCAGAATATATAAATAATCTTGTAGAAATTTATTTTCCTAGTAACTATAGAATTGGACGAAGAAAACTTAAAAAGTAGCGAAAAAACGTGAATTTTTCGTATTTATCAAGTGAGGATTTCTTCATTATAGTTAAATTCATTTTTGCAAAACATACATGCAAGATCGTAGACAAATTATGTTGGAATATAGAGAATTTCAAGCGCTATCAGATTATATAGCTACTTTTTTTAAATTCTTTTAGCATAGGTCTGTGTAAAAATAGTGAATCTTTAACCTGACTATTAATTAAATTGAATAAAAGAGTTAACTAGCAAATATCTCTCTAACTACATGAGCAAAAAATCTGAAAACTTCACTATAGGCTTTACGCTACGAACTGCACCTTTGTCGAAGCTTTCAGCAAGATCGGACTTCAAAATTATTTTCCGAAAAAACTGTTTGTCTAGAGACCCTATAAGCTTTTGAAACAAAAGTTTTTGTCCTATCATCATCTAGAGACTCAGAGCAAGGATTTATATTGATTGGAATCGATTCCAAATTTCTCATCCGATTGCAAGCGCACTTTTTTGGTTGTATATTCGTACTTCGTCACGTCGCAAACACTTGTTTTTTTACTGATAACTTCTCTCGAAAAAAGTCTCTAGTGTTGAGTTTTTCAGGGTATTTAGATTAACTTAACATACATGTAATATATAAAAATTAGTTCTAGAAAAGTTCTTCATCCTATGATGCGCAGATTTTAGTTTTGTGAAGTCACATCGTTGATGAATGATTTTGCCTGTATGTGTAAAACATTATGGTAAAACTATTCCAAATGTTGTGAAAACAATAAATAATCTTGTATTAGCATATTAACGGAAAAGAAAACATAAATTAATAACTCAGTTATATCAAGAAGCTTTATCAAATGAGCAATGTCGAAATTCATGTAATAATCTAAGTAAAATGCACCATCGATATCAATTCGACACAGCTTAACAGTTACGATATCATTAAACATCGTCATATGTATCTTGTGTTTTTTGTTTTCAGAAATAAAAGAATGAAAGAAAGGTTTACTTTTTTAGAAGTACTTTGTCGTCGACAAGATTCCTATGAACAAACTGATTCATATTGAATCATGTGCAACAAAATCAACTCAAGATAGCATGTTCAACAACAATCATCTTCACAGGAATATGAACGAATATATCGTACTGGTTCATTTCAAATATTACGACAAAGTATTTGACATAGTTCAGAAAAACTTGCACAAAAACTTTGAAATATATGATCAGCTGGCTGAAACAATCAATCATTAAATTCTTCGCAATATCAACAATAGAAAGAAGAAAACAGTTATGAACCAATGAAATATGCATTATTGATATTTGTTTTAAATAATATTCCATTAGAACAATAAAATAGTTCTTCATTTACACTACAGTATCCATCGACATTTTATAGTCGATCGACCAGTACTAAATATCTTCATTAATGATATATAATAATGAATAATTACGATTGTAATTTTCTATTTCTTTCTATTGTTCCTTCTCTCAGTTTTGTAAAAGTGACAAGTATAGAAAAATTTATTAATAGACTGTTGGGCATGGAATTTATAAAAATGAGCAAAATAACACATAATATTATAATGAAAAACAAGTTGTTTAAAACTTTAACATAAAAATTATGTTCTTCGTTACATGCTGATGAGAACGATCAATACGCGTATCCACTTGTTAAATATTTTCATTTTTATGTATTTGTTTGTCCTTGTTCTTGAGTCTTTTTGTTCTTTTGTTTTTGTTTCTGCTCTTTCTGAAAATTTAACAAGACAGTTAAGAAAAAAAACATGCTCTGTTAATAATAAAAAATGTTTTACTCACGTTGAAGCTTTTGTCTATTCTTTTAAAAATTTAAATGTTTCGCTGGTCACATTCACTCATAATTCATCCATTTCGTGTATTTTTCTGTTTGAATGAATAATAAAGTACGTGTAGAGCATGTTCCGAAATAAAATATATTTTCGAAAGAACATAAAGGTTTTTTATTATAAAATTTTTCAAATTATTTTTGAGGATTTTATATTATTGGATACAATAATATCTGCTTAATCGATTTATGTCGAAACCATCTAATTATCTTGAATAGCTCAACATTCGTATGATCTGTAATTGCCGAGTATTAATGGCTTTTTAAAGATTTTATACTTTCTAACTAGATATACTCTTTCCTATTAGAATAATGTTTCGCAGACAATGTGGTACTTAATAATATAAAAATCATTGAAAAGTCTTTTCTAATGAACAACCGTCTCAACGTAATAAGTATGAATATTTTCCAATAGGTGCTTACGTTCAAACTCGTCTGAAGTCTTCAAGTTTTTCTTGTTTTGGTCAGCCATAAATACTTTTTCGTGATGATAAAAAATAACTATACATGTATATATGTGTGTGAAGAAATAAACACAGATAAATCTACTCATTTTTTCTTTAAAATATTACTCTATTTGTCTTCTCTTTTGTTAAAACGATATTTCATAGATAAGGAATTTCACAATAGAAAGTGAAGAAATATTCTGACTGATATCGAAAAGAAATATGCAAAGACGAGTAACTATTAAACTCTAAATCAAAAGTATGCTTTCTTTGCTATTTCTCTGTTTGACTTTCTTGATTGTTTATTACGTGAATAGGCATCAGCGTGTATGACTCTCGGTTCTGTTTTTTCACATAAACACACTACTTACTCTATCATAAATAATTTACCAATATCTTTTTATCTTAAATTCTTACTTCTTTATACTATGTCTTTTGAGAAAAAGATGTTGAAATTTTGATATCATCACATTAGTATAGCGCTTGTTTTAACAAATCTAGTTGAATAGTGTCAAATTCAAATTTCACATTATATCAATGAAGCGGAGTGTGGATGTGATTGGGTATGAATAGAAACGTCATCCCGTGCATCCCATACCCACACCCTTTTTGTATTCAATGCACCATGGAGAGCATTTGGATTATCCGAATAACATCAAATTTCGACGAGAACTAATTCATTATCAAGAGTCATGTTTATTCGATATACTAAAATTACAGTTAAGATAAATATAAATAATAACGTCGAAAAAGTATATGGGTCATCAAGATGCTATATAGACATCTTTATCATCTGGAAATACAAAAGGAAGAATAAAAACTATCTCAACGCATATTTTGTAGTTGAAGCTCAGCATCAATAATGTTAACATATGCCATTAAAACTATAACTAATTAGTTGATGATATCATATTGAACTGCTGGTTTGTTTTTAATGTTAAAAAAAAAGATAATTTGATTTTTCTCTAAGCTCATATAAATTAGAATGTAGTTTCTCTTTAAGTATAATAAATCTTCTGTTTTATTAATCGAAGAAACTGTTTACACACACTTTAAAGTTTTCTTTTGATTGTTCTGATGTTTTAAGTTTTTGTTTGCCTTTTTCAGACATACTGCAATTATATATTTGAAGTTTGTTCAATGATGAATTATTTTTTATCATCTGAAGAAGATAATCGATACTTTTATCAGTCAATAATTTGTTCGAAGAAAGATCCAAACATTTGATTGTTGTGTTATAATTTTCAATTGCATCAGTCAATATTTGAACTCCGTGATCATTTATATCATTCTCTCCAAGATAGAGATGAGTCAATATTTTATTTGTTTTCATCATTTCAGCAAGATATTTTGCACCTATTTCTGTAATTCCATTTTTTGTAAGATTAAGTCGTTTGAGAATATTATTATTGAGTGAAAGTATTTTAATAAGAGAATAAACACCTTCATCACAAACTTGATTATCGGATAGATACAAGCGTTCTAATGTATTATTGTTATTCAATGCCTCAGCTAAAATCGAAACACACACCGATGTGATTTTATTTGATGATAAGTAAAGCCATGTACATTGTTTTTTGATAATAGCTTCTTGAATAACAATGTTCATATCTTGATCAATTAACTTTTGTCCTTTCAAATAGACTTGTGAATTACTTTTTTGTTGTCGAATTTTTTGTTCAAGTTTTGGATTTTGATATTGATTTGCTTCTAAACGACAAAAAAATGTTTTGATGAATAAAAAAAGGAACTCTTTTAAATTTTAATTAATTTTCGATGGAATATCATTATATTCACTTACCTAGTACATACTTTCCTCTGTTTCTTAAACACATAGTACCTATTGTTGACTCGTTCTGACGTTCATCGAATCGAATTCTTGCTTTTTTCTGACTTCGGTCATCATCTTCAAGCTTGATTTCGAGCATTTCATCATCGCTTGATTGGCCACTCAATTGCGTAAAATATGAACTGCAACAATCGTTAGTATCGTTTATCTCTGTAATTTTAGATGGACATTCTTGTTCATTCTCATCATGAAATTTGTTCGTTTGAATTTGACGATGATCTGAATGATTGTTGAATTGTTCTATAAATGTATTCAAACGATTATTAGTATTTTCTAATTGTTTAATTTCAATCTGATCAGTTTGTTGACATTGTTGTTCGAACTGCTGTACTTCATCTTTAAGAGATTGATTGTGTGTTGAGAATTCAACGTATTGTCTCATCTGTTCATCAATTTGCATTTTAAGTTTTTGATTTTCGTTTTTTAATTCTTGAATCTGTTTCTCACTATTGTTCAGTTGTTTACTAAGATTATAAACTGTATCTTTGAGTTCTTCCATATAAGCTTCATGTTGGGTTTGACTTTGCATTTTGAGTTGTTTATTTTCATCTTTCAAATCTTTTATTTGAATGCCGTGATTGTTTAATTGATTGCTCACTTGTGTAATCTTATCATTAAGTGCTTCAATGTGAGTTTGATGGTTTTGTTGACATTGCTCTTCAAATTGTTTGATTTGTTCTTTAAAAATTTGATCTTCATTTTGAAATTCATTATATTGTATACTTTGTGTCTCAAATTGTTGTTTAAATTGTTCATTCTGAATCTTGTATATATTCAATCGATCTTCATATTCTTTTATTTTCATCTGTTGTTGTTGATGAGATTGTTGTTCAACTTTGACTTGTTGTTGATACTCATCCTCGATTCTCTTTATTTGTATCATAGTGTTATTTAATTGATGTGTCAATTGTTCAATGTATGTATTCAAATGATCATTAGTGCTTTCAAGTTCTTTAACATGACTTTTATACTGTTGTTCAATCTGATTTATTTTCTCTTTAAGAAATTGATTGTCACTTTGAATTTCAATACATTTTATTATTTGCTCGTCGATTTGTTTGTTCAGATGTTGATTCTCAGTCCGCACATCATCTATTTGAATTTGATCTTTATTCAGTCGATCGTTACATTGATCAACAAATATATACAGATGATTGTTAATACCTTGAAGGTCATTAATATAGGTTTCGTGTTCTTGATGAAACTTTTTTTCTAACTGATTTGTTTTTTCGTTCAGTTGTTGATTTTTACTAAAAACTTCCGCAAAAATAGATCGTAATGGTTCAAAAACAAGTATTGATGATGACTGCTGATACGATTGATCTTGTTGTTCATCTCGTGAACATTTGTTATTTGATAATAAATTGTGTGTATTCACTTTACAACGTTCTTCATTAATGTCACGATGAATATTATCGATTTTCTTCTGTACAATCGGGTCAACATCTGTCACATCATTAATAGAAACAGTCTGTCCACAAATTGGACATAATGTATTATTTTTTTCAAACCATTGTATAATACATGTTTTACAAAACATGTGTTCGCAGGGAAAACATTGTGGGTCGTTAAAGGGTCTATTACATATATTGCATATTGATTCGTGATCAATGTTACGTGACATTTGATTATATAAAATATTATCTAAAGACTTAGTGAGAAAGAGTAAAAGTTGATAAGAAATTCATATAGATTTTGATTTGGAGATATAATTAAAATAGAAAAAATTCTTGTTTAACCTACTCTGTTTGAATATAATTGTATCAAATCAATCGATGTATTTTTATTGTTTCACAAGATTAACATCGAAACATGTCTCTTTTCCACTTGAATGATTTTGTTGTGTATATATCATGATTCTTCAATTTGATAGACATAGCATATACACATACACATTTTATAACATCGAATGAAAAGATAAAATACATTTATATGACACTCTTTTCACGCCTATTCTTTTTCTTTCGTTCTATACATTTGATGATGAGTTACACGTTCGAAAAATAAGTTAAGAAAAACTAATAAGTAAATAAATGAAGAAATGTGTTTTTTTTTCATAGAAGAAAAACATGATTGAAAGTTGCGTTATCAGTCATTCTAAAATAACTAATTAAGTATAAAAACATCATGTTCTATGTCAAATAATGACATAAAAACCAATCAATGGCCGAAGTTTTTGATTTAAGTAGTTCGTGTAATCGTGAGTTTTGGAATGCCAAGATGCAGATTTCAAGTCCTTTGAAAAAGACAATCATCAGTCAGCTTTAGCACTGTCGCATTTGTTCGAAATGATTCAATTAAAAAGAAACAAGAATCATAAATAAAATACATATATCTATGCAGAAATTCAAACAAAAGGTTCAAAAATCTAATAAAAAAGACGATAGGGTGATAGAGAGAGTGTGAGTATAGTTACCATGACAGAAATTTTTCTGGTTTTGTTTTTTCAAATCTTATCAAATAGACAGTATTTGCAAGAAGATTTACATCATCAAAGATAAAAGTCTATATAGAATACTACATATCTACTAGTTAAAATAGGTATTAAATTCTTATTCTTTTAAACTTTTGATGCTTGGTTAGCTGTAGTAATCGTAAGAGTTTTTCAAGATACTCCATGTGTTCAAACTCCCTTAATTGCGCATCGTTTCGTTTTTGTGGTTTATTTCTTCGTTCGTCTTTTGCTAATCGTTCTAATGCTCTCATATGCTTCCATTGTTTGAGATAGTTTTGTTTGAATTGAACAGTTAGTTCACTCTGAGTACGCTGTTGTAATTGTTCTACGGGTATTAGTAAAATACGTTCTGATACATTCTGAACGTCGTTTTATTAGGGCTTATAATAGTTGATAGAACTTGAAATTGCGTGTTCACCGTATTCTACTTTGAGCCAAGAACTGAAAAATATTAAATATTCGAAAAAAACGAAGTTAAATGTAATTCTATTGGATATTTTGAATTCAGTAGAGCTATCATATATACACTACAACTTCATCTAAGGTCATTTTTTCCGATTTTTTATTTTTGAGTTTTTGGATCAGAATAACTCACGAGGAATCTACCTGAGATGTTATCTTCCATTTGGATTCATTTATATCTTATTCGGTCGAGTACATCGAGATAGTAGAAAGACTAATAGGATTTTCAACTCTTGGATTTGCCTTCAAAAATTATGGAGATTTGTCTAATCTCCCTTTGTAAGACCCAGAAAAGTCGAAAGCTTCATAATTTCTGAAGGATGAGTGAAAAGGAGAAAATTCTGTTAGGTTTTTTACTATTTCAATATACTCGACCGAATGAAATATATCAGGTAGATCCCTCGCGAGTCATTCTAGTCCAAAAACTCAAAAAACAAAATAAATATTCGGAAGAAATGAACTTAGATGAAGTTGTAGTGAATACCTGATGGCTCTAGTCAATTAAAAATATCCAACAGAGTTACATTTAACTTCATTTTTTCGAACATTTAATATTTTTCGATTCTTGGCTCAAAGTGTGAACCACTCCAAAGAGTTTTTGCAGTGTATGTTCGTGATTTTTTTTCACAAAGGCTCAGAGTAGAATGCGGTAAACACGCAATTTCAAGTTTTATCGACTGTTATAAGTCCCTAGTAAAATGGCATTCACAGTGGATCAGGGCGTATTTTATTAATAGCCCAAATATTTTCTATACGTTCTGGCAATATAATAATCGTTAACATTATGACTACTGAAAATGTTTAATACTTTTTCATAAAATCATAATGTACTTTCAATACTATTCATTATTTTTCATACAACGCTAATATAGTAACGTATTATCATATTAAGAAAGTGAGAGTAGCTATAACCAATAATAATATTAATAACAATAAATTTAAAATTATCAATAAAATTCTTATTTGATAAAAGTTTTTTGTAATATTCTATAGCTGTTTCATTATTTTTCTAAATTATTAATTAAAAAAATAGACATTAATATCTGTCACATTTGTCAATATACCCTTCCATGAAATTTCTTTTTTCTGTGAATGTTTTGTAATATTTTCCGAACAGATTTAAATCATCTGTTTACATAAATAAATGATTCTAATACGTTGCGGAAGTTAATTGATCTTTAATACCGTTCATTGATTATTCTATCGGATCAAATGTTTTGTTTTTTAAAATAAATTTAATAATCAATGTTGTATCGATTCCATTGTCTTTTTCAACAGAATCAATACGAAAAACAGAACGAACCAAGAATAAAATTTCTTCTTCATCTAGAAATGAGCTAAATTGAGAAATATCAGCAAATGAATGAAAAATATCATTACGAGCATTTGCAATGTTAATTTCAAATATAACTCCAATTTGAGGATCAACCACAAAATTGACAAGTAATACCTTCTTTACGTGTTGTTGACATAATTGTATTTATTGATATGAGAAATCCAACATTTGACTAGATTTTTCAAATTTTTTTTTTACCGAGAAATCATATTCGGGTGTGGATGTAAGTGTGGACATGATCTGCTTGTCACAGGCAAGCAGGCCTAGTGACCTGGTTGGGGCTCTGTTCTGTAGTATATAGATAGGCAAAAAAGTATTCAAATTGAAAACAAACATTCGAAGAGATTCATTTGTTAGTCGCTCGAGTTATGTTACAAGCTGGAAAATCATATTCTCAAGATTGTTTATCGCGAAATTTTTGAATGATTTACCGATTTCGATTTAAAAAATATTCATGAAGGTATTTATTTTTATGTAGTTATATATTTTCTATTAATAATATTATTTTCTAGGACTTGATCTTGTTATTCATCATCCAAAATCATTACTTGATGCAATGAGACCATGGTATATGGAACATTATACAAAATCAGGTCTTGATCAACAAGTCTTAGACTATAAATTATCCATGCTTGATATTGGAACAGAAATAATAAATTGTATTGAACAAGTAACATCATTATCAATAAATAAAAAATTTCTTATTCTTACGGGCAAGTCTGTTTATGTTGATCGATATTTTCTTGAAAAGAAATATTTCACGTTTAAATTTTTTACTTGATCGATCAATTCTTGATTGTAGTACATTAAAATGAATTAATTTATTGTTTTAATGACGAAATTTATTTCAATGCATCACTTAAGAGTGAAAATCTTCATTCATACATTAGATGATATTCGTAATAATGTAGAAGAATTAAAATATTATCAAAAAATGAGCTTTTGAAGAAAAACAACAAACAAAACAAAATGACAAAATATATTATATGGATAAATGTTAATTCCACAATAATACATTTTATTTTAACTGTTAGTAATCTTAATATGATTGATGAAATAATTAATGGAAAAACATATGATGATTTAATGAAATCTATGAAGAAAAAGTTATTGTTGTAACTAGAAAATTTCTAGGTTCAATTCGGAGTCAATTAAATAAAGAAAAGAAAAATAATAAGAGAAGTTTTGGGTATGACTGTGGCTGTGAATAAAAATAGAATGAAGTCTCACGCTTCGTCCACACCCACTCCACATCGATAACCACAATCGCCTACTGCGTCATAGCTTTATATCAATTTCGTCCTTGTTTTTCACTTGCGTAATTGTGAGCATAACTAGTGTTTTGGTTTAAACTTGTTTTAGAAATCACAAAGAAATTCAAACAACTATATTATAGCGTTAGTCATCAATACTAATATTCAAGTTATTCAATGTAGCATTTGCAAATTGTTAACAGCAATAGGATGAATATCCTGACTCAATCTAAACAAATCTCAGAAATACACTTCATTTCTATGTTCTTCTTATATTAATATCAATTTCTGCGTTTATATTTCAAAGCATTGAGTTGAATTTCAATGAAAACTTTTCTAAATCATCAAATTTAAGTTCTCTTTTATATTGAAGTAAGCAAAAAAAAATGAAAATACGTTCATCGTGGTGCGATTGGCGAACTTTTCAATTTAGTCTGTTTATATTAGCAGAGTTCATATTCTTTTAGTTTTATTTTCGGCTTCAATCCTGACATTGTCTTCATTCGACTAGGTAACATCTATAATTTTAAAGACCGTATATGGCATAATCAGAACTTCCTTTTCGTCTGGAAATCCTGATATTGCTTCGAGATTAAGTCCACTTCTACGATTGTGAACATCGTATGTACATAAGATATTGATGGCGTTAGTCGAGGTTGAGTCATGAGCAAACTTAGCGGCGATGTCACAATCTTGAGTCAAGGAAAGAAACGATTTTGTTATAATACGTGACTCTTTCTTAAACTTTTCAAGTTCAGTTTTGTTTATATTCATGTCACGATAACATTCGTCTGAAAAGTTAAATCGATCCAAGCGAGAATGATGAACAATGATTCCAACAAGGCAATCACAGTATGGATTGATTTGGAGTTTGACTGACTCAGCCTCAATCTGCTGTGCTTGTGCTAAATTTACATTTAATAGCCGACTGAATTCGGTCTTGATGGTATATGCTTGACGTAAATACTTTGAACTTTGTCCTTACAGCTCTTTGAAAAAAGTAACTGATGTTGTCAATATCTGACTTTTTATTTGATTCTTTTCCAATGTAATTGAGTCGAGCATCAAATATGAGTTATTCAAAATTGTCTTGTTTTCTGTAGACCTCGAAGAATTCTTGCATATGCTTTGCTAAGTAGTCTGCATTACTGTAGGCTGGCATCCATGTGGAATCAAGTTAGTCACCTTCGAAACGCTGTTCACGTCGTCTCCTGCCTAGAATACAGTTAAAAAAGAACAGATATATCTGAAGCATTTTGTTCATAAGAAAATAATTTTCTAGAAACGAACTATTAAACAAACTATACAACAAAATATTATCGATCAAGAGAAATTGTCTCTAATGAAGCTCTTTGTTTTCCATCGATGATCGTGCTTAGAAAGCTGGAAGAACAGAAAGCTACATAGATGTTAGCTCTTAGGATAGTAGACTATCACTTGTTTGCAATAAAATACATCAACGATAAGAGTGTGAATATTAATATCAAGTAGACTATCACTCGCAGCCCCGCACCCCCTCACACCCACACCCTCCTTTTACACTTTAGGACCCCATGCATCTGATTGGTCATAACACAAGCACGAAAGTGTGGGTGACGGTGAGAAAGTTGATTATTTGGGGTCCTAAAGTGTAAAAACTCCCCGTCGTTTCATACACTCATAAGCATGTAATGACGAACAAAAACTCTTTCTATCCACGAGCATAAGTCAATAAACTAAAATAAGTCTTCTTGATGATAGATAGTAGATGAGTAAAAGAAAAACAAACAAAAAAGCATAAATTCTGATGCAATGACCTTTCTCTTGAAGTTTTATAATGATAAGAATAAAAACTATCGCACTGCTGACGTCAAGTGTGATATAATCATTGCCAATAACTTCATGCCATCTAGTTTCTTTCATTTACTGTAAACTTTATTTTTCATTTTCCATTTCAAATAATATGTTATTAAAGAAAAATATAAACATTTAAGGAGAGATTTGTATTAGTTGTGCTGATTTTAAAAATTCTATTTTTTTTTATCGCGTTTTATTTAACTGAATTTGAATCAACCTTGAGGTAACGGATGGTGTAAAAAGCATGATAGATTTAACGTCACAACGAGCAAAATTATAGCAAACAACTTTTCCATCATGTTACAAAGTTTTTGATAGTGTCTTGCTCACAGTACTCTACCTACTATTAAACAGTATAGATGGTGAAAGAAGCAAAATTATCACATATAAAGCAACAACAAAGTTCACTATGATAATACTTAGCAATCGAAATGACAGGATTAAAATTAACGGTGAAAGAGCTAAAATAGGATTTTTTTGATTGAAAGATTTAGTATTAAAACTTGTTTTCTTTAAACACTTTCTATCAATTTTAGATAAAAAGAATCAATTTAATCCTAAAAAATCAGTGCAATTAAAATAATTGGAGAAAACAAAAACATCACTTTTTTGTTATTGTTATGATAGACTTCATCCTCTAAATGTACTAAACGTCATCTTTTAACAACTAAATTCTATCTACAGACTTCATTTATTAAAAAAGAACTAAAAGTCAGGACACAAAAATGTTCAAAATGAAGTCTTTTTCAATAAGTAATTTTTTTAATTTTTTTAAATTAAAACTTGATTAAAAATTTTAAAAAAATCAGCCATTTGCCCCTTATTTAAATATCATATTGAAATTGAACGGGAAAAACTCCATTTAATGACATACTTGATATAATTGATTTGAAGAATTATTTGTCGCTCAAAAAATTCGTCTGGGATTCTCTACAACAAGGTCAAAAACTCGAACATCTAAAAATTGGTCCGAACACTCTAGAACGAATTCAACTGAAGTTTTTAATACATTTTCCTAATACCTTGAGGCTTCGTGTTAGAATTTGGATTGCTTTTTATCCATCTCATCATTGAACTTTCTTCTGTGAGAAACTCCATGCAGTGTTCCACCGCAACGAGAATTTCCGTAGAGAGTTCGGAAATGAGAACGATGTAAAAAATAGACATTCACGAAAATCACTTTACTCAGTTTTGTTGTATGAGTGTGCTCTTCAAACTTTGCTCTTTCAAAAAAAACTGTCGAAGTCAATACGATGTTACATTGTCGAGAAATAGTTTTTGACATTCTTTCAGAGACTTTTGCATCGCTTATTAATTAAAAAAGAAATAAAAAATATCTATCATCAAAAATGAGACAAATGCATTAGAATGTTATTCAATTAGAACAGTAATTATAGTTTTTGTCATTATCACCTTCAAAAGGTGTATTTTTCACAGTATCTCGCAATATGGCATTATTATTACATTCTACTCTTGAATGTTTTTGTTTTTTGATCGATATTGTTGATTTACTAGTTTTTTTTCTCCTTTCAATTGTTCAATTGATAGACAAAAATAATTCTCTTAACTTTATGTTGAAAAAATTTGGACTTATAAATAATGTTTGATTTACTTTACTAAAACATACCTTCAACGATATTTTGTTTTTAATTCAAAATCATCTCATATTGAGCAAAGTAAGACATTAACACAAGCTAGTGTCTCATAGTGATAGTTTTTCCCACGCACAAAAAACTAAATATTAATAACAACTCTTAAAGCATTATGAGAACGGAAACCAAAACAGTTGTTTCCGCCGGCCATTAATCCCAGGAGAAATTTCCGAACGACGAAAAAAATGTATGTTAAAATTACGTCAAGTATGTCGTTCAGTACATTTTTTCGCACTGAAACTGAATATGAGATTCAAATTGAAATTCGAATATACTTCGAAGTGTTAATTGAGTATACAAAACAATCAGAATGGTGTTGTTTAAGGTTTGTTAATCATTTTCAACATGTTCATCAATTTTTCTCCCATGTTTTAGATCATAATCACAATCAACGTGAGAAACTACATCTAACCGTTTTGTAGTAGGAAAAGATCGCACAAAAGGATGACTCATAATCTTCTGCGAAATACTTCTAATTGTATTAAACATTTCGATTGATTATCGATTACTGTTAAAACTGAACTATGCTCGAATGGATAGAGAAAACATTCTTGATATAATTGTGCATATTTTGGAAAGAAAAAAACAAAATTATTAAATAGATAGACTAATGCATAGGAAAGTTGTTCTATAGCTTATAATACGATATTCGTAATCAGTGAGCGAAAGTGCATACAAATAATGTTTTTGAGAGTATTTGAGGGAAGAACTTTTTTCAAATG